CTTCTAAAAATTTACGTTTTGGTGTCAGAAAAGTCTTTATATTTTCTAAGTTTTTTTACATTACTTTTGCAGTCAATATTTATAATGAACGCTAAACTGGCATATATTGCCATTGCACACGACATAATATATCTAATTTATCTTCCAATTGGCCTGGTGACTTAAAATTACAGAGTGTTCCCGTTCAACAAGTTATAAACACCACTTTTTAATTTATTTTTAATATTCTGACTGCATGACTTAACAAACCTAAAGAATTAAAAGCAAGAAATACGGATCTTAATAATTTAAATATTAATTTCATTTTAAAAAATTTAAAGCTTTCAGATTTAATATTACGCTCAAAGGGGCGTTTTTTTAACGTTTTGTGTGTTACCTTTATTTATTAAATATCATGTTCATGTTCACTCAAACCACATAAAATTCAACTGAGCAGCAATATTATAAAATATTTAAAAACAGCATATCTTTAGAATTTTCGATAGACAGTCTCGCGCTGGAGATAAAAATGTTTATTCACGTACAGTGTTGCCATTGCTGGCTTTGAAATCGTTGAGTCTGAATATTAGTGAATGAGTTGAAAAAATATAAAATAGATAATAAAAACAGATTCCAAATTTGGGCTTCCAGATGCCCAAATTCGAGTGCAGGACTACGTTATTCAGAATTTGATGTCTCAAGGTACCGTTGTTGTTCCACAGTGCGAGGAACTTGCATACATTCATGCAGATTCTTGATTGTTTACTTTCTTTAAATATAATGCATGGCTCTAATATTTGGTGGCAACAATTCGAAAAGTGAAACTCCATTTATAGTGAACCAACGCAAAATGCTAAATCGAATTTAATAGCCTTCTGGGCAAATTGCCGCTTTTGGAATAATAATACATTTAATGTATCAAATTTAAAATACATTTAATTTAAAATATAACCCAATTAATAATTTTAGAGCATTTGCGGAACTATTCTTACGATATTTTACATATTGCTCTTCGAATTTCCAATTTATATTTCTCCTAGTTTTTACAAAATCAGATTTTTGGTTTATGATGAAAAAAACCTCCAATCAAAACTGCTGCTTGAAGCGTCTGTTTAAATTCAAAATTATTCTAAGAACGAATTTTGCTTTATTTTTGAAAATAACGTGTGTCTCTTATATCTACCAGAGTTTTAGTATTTTAAATACTACTTAGCGCAGCAGCCACGGAGACAATTCATGAGTATTATACAAAAGGGGAATGAAATCGAAACACATTTGCAACAGTATTTGCTTTCCTTTTAAAATGTTTTCGGATTTCGCTTGAAAATAGCTTTACACACGGGAATTGGCAGTGTATGTGAAAGCCATCAGTCATGTGCGTTGAGCTGTGAAAAGCTTCGGAAATCATCACTGGCTTACCCAACAATTAACGAGCATGCAACAATGGAGTGATCAAGTGAGAGTGGTTGAAACTCAGAAAGAAGACAAAAGAAGCAGACCTCTCCCACACGTTTCAGCAAAACGAATCGCCGTGAGAAAAAGCAAACAAATAAAAAGGAGTTGAAGAAGCAGTTTTTCTTTCATCCGTTTGCGGGAGACCCGCCTTTGCTTTCAAGTGATCGATGAAATAACATACTTTCGGATTCCCACGCGCAAAGCCCTCCAATGGGCGTGGCAGAACAAATATTGGGTATCAATGAGTGGTAGAATGCAGTGATTGCATGGACCAGCACATATACCTAACGGAATGGGTAAGCACTCACACGAATACGAGTTTTCTTAACGGCTTGGACTTTTCACCATCATGAGTATGCAATTTTTGCGCTCTGGCCAGAAAACCATGGGCGTTGCAAGATGGCCTATAGATTGCCTACATTCTTTTGATAAATGAAGGCAATCACTATGAGCGGTTTCTTTCCCTCCATGTTGATATCCTCAGGAGACGGAAGACCATTGCCAGCTGTATTTCTGAAACAGCAAAAAAATCTAATCCCAGTATACAACCAGATACCAAATATTAGGTATTTTGTCATAGCATGAAAGGCAGTTTCGTATACATTCTTGTTTCATATAAATTACGTAATGTACAAAATGAAATTCCTTACATTGACTACTATTATTGTTCTTATAAGTCTTTACATGCAATCCACAATGTGTTAACATAACAAGAGGAAGACAGATATTTGTATGTTCCGTTTATACATAAGCTCGTCTGCTATTACAAGACAAATAGAACAGCATTTTCGATACTTCTAAATGCGTTAAAAAAGTGTTGTAGAAAAAAAAAAAAAACTTACTTCAGGATATTTCGCTAAATATAGCTATATTGACTAAATCACCAAAATCAGTCCTTTTTTTTTCATAACTAAAGACTCAAAATGCGTTAAAATAAATGCAATTTTTTCTCTTATAAATACTATTATTCTTTTTATATCGTTTAATTTCTATTTCTATTTAATGGTTCTATGACATCAGATATATCTTTCTTAAGCAAAATAATTTTTTATTTCTCCGATGCGTCTGACATCAATCCTAATTTTTTGCCAAAACAGTTACTAACAGGGTATTGCCAACCGAAGCGTAATTTGATCTTTAATTTGTTTTCCAAGCTATGTGATATTCTTTAATGTGTGACAGAGAAAGACATTTAAAAATTTTAATGAATCAGAAATAAAATTAATTTTTTTTTAATTATTAAGAAAATACTTTTTGGTTGAACGGCAGCTTCCATGGTATGATTTTATTGCTATTTACTTCTATTTATCTTCTATATTTGGGAGAAACTGAATATAACTGAAATATATTATCATATATTTAATATGACCTTACTTAACTAAATATATTTTTAAGTTCATTATTCTCAATTCGCGTATTACCACTCCCGGGAAAATATAAAACTGTACCATTTGAGGAAAATATTTGTTGCAAGTCTTGTACGCAAGCGGTGCAGTGAAAATAATGCACAGCTATGTCTTGAATATAATTAAGTAATAAAATCTTTTCTTTAAAGTGTAGTATTTATGCACGATGAAATAGTATCACAAAAATTATTTCTATTGTTTTCTTTGCTATTGGAACAGCTGATTTGAAATATAAGATTTCATATTCTGTATCTTTAACATCTAATTGTGTAATCCATAAACTAGTAGATCTGTCTACGTTAACTGATTAGTTTGTTGTTTCAACTGTTAAACTAAAATCTGAAAGCCAAAACTAGACTGCCTATTTTATTTTCAGTCTCATGATTTTTATCTTTTAAAATTAGAAAAAAATATGTTCTTGATATTTTAAACTTTGAAACTAAATTTTTCGAAGTTTTAAAATTACAAATTAAACTTTACGTTGTCTGCTTCTCTTTATAAGAATTTTCTGTAAATAACGCATTAATTCTTTAAATACTTTTCGAAATGAATTCTGCTTCATTAGTTAAAAATATTTCGTTTCGTTAAGTCATTCTTTAAAAATATTTTGATTGCGACTGATTCAGTTTCTAGTAAAAAAATTTTAATTAAATCTATGAAAAAATACAAGAAGTAATAAACAAAACAGACATGATTTTACTTTCGCAAATTAGACGAGACAAACAAAAAATTCCGAATAACCTAAGACTTATTCCGCCTTTATTTTGTTCAATGGCGTACCTGTATATCACTTATACGATAAGCGTTCCCTAAGACGACCATCTACTGTTTTAGAGATTAGGTTCTTCTAAGTCATTTGAAGGAAAATGACGCCGTTGATGATTGCTATCGGCGAGAATTCTATTATTGCGTTCTACGGGTTCATGGATTAGGAGTGATTGATGACAACACTTGAGGAACAATCAAAATACAATTTACTCGCCAGTATTACACAGGACAGTTCCGAAGGCACTCTGAAAGTCGTCGAAAACCCACGATAAACACGCTATATCAATCTGCACCGCAACACAGCCTTTAGGCCAGAACAGTAGTGACAGCTTCGAGGCAAGGCACCAAAGTACAGTTGCCGACACGGTCGATCGCTCTCGAGCTAACCTCCGACCTCGAGACTCTACTAATGAACTAAAGATACTTGTTCCGCGTACAGGCAAGGGTGTATATAGCTTTCGACCTGCCTTCAAGCACATTCCCCGAAAAACCATAAGAATTTATTCTGGAATGTTCTCGCTCCGTCTATGGCATATCGCCAATTTCGAACCAAATGGGATATTTCATGCCAAATTTTCTTGTTGTTTGGTTTTCGTGATTTTATCCATACGTACTGAGAATAAGAGCCAGTTTTGTTTAAAAAGTCCTCGGGAAAGGCATTCCTTCTCTTAAGGTGATAGCCCTAGTGTGCTTTGTCATATTCAAATAACCTAACCTAGCGTAGCATAACAAGGGTTCGATGAAATCTGCTATGGACGCTCCGGCACCTTTAACACAATTTTTAGTGTAAGAGATATCACCGATCAAATTTCAAATGAAGCGCGTTTTATATAACGTATTTGGTGAAATAACCTTATGATTCACATTTTACATTCAAAGTTATTTAAAATAATAATAAAAAAAAATCTGAAAGGTTTCAGATTTTAGATTACATCCAAAGGGGCTGTTATGTTACGTAAGGCGTTACGTTCGAACAATGGCTAGCTCAGAAGGGATTCATAAGTCATCTACCCGATGAATTAACAGCTATCTTGTCATAAATGGAGTACTCCATTTAAACTTAAGCAAAAAGATTTATTTACACATAAAGACAAGTTAAAAGAATAAAAAATATTTATCTAGCTACAATATCTAACAACATCATGCAAACATCGTTCTTAACTAACTAAACCGGAACTCTTCGTTTTCTCTGGCGTCCCATGACGTCAGTCTCTATCTGGCTTTTGATTCGTTGGCTTAGTGATGCCATTCCCAACATCCTCCCCCCTTTGAGTTGCTGGATAGCTACTCAAAACATTCAAGTCTATCAAGTTCAGTCTAAGTGGCATCTTAACAGTTCCACCAGCTCGTGTCTTTATAGTCTTAGAACTGTCACATACATCATCGGAAACATCAGTGGGGTCCGGAGATCAGGGGTGACCCAGAAATTTCTGAATGATGAGAGGTACTCATGTCGTCTCCACGATGAGAATCTGAAGACTTTACAGCAGATTGATGTTTTTGAGGATCACTTGGATGACATGAACCTGACAAATCATCATCTTGGATTTCTAGGGGAAACACTCGTTGTATCGGACGTACTAAATTGTTAGTTTGCGTTCTTAATCTAACTGTTCTCACTTTACCGTCCTTTCCTGGAATCAGTTCCGTAACCCTGGCTAAAGGCCAATTCAATCTCTTTTTGATATCATCTCCTATCAACACAACGTCATTCACTCGAATATTTGGAAAGTGTGAATTTTGCTGTCGTTTCTGAATAAGTAGTCCTAAGTATTCCTTTCGAAAACGTACTCGGAGATCTTCCATTAATTTTGCACGAAATCTGATTCTTTTCCTGAGATGATTGGTGTCTACTGTGTCTATATCAGTTACATCTAAATTGGATCTATCGGTCAAAAACATGGCAGGTGTAAGTGAAACTAAGTCTTCTGTATCTTCGGACAAATATGTCAAGGGTCGCGAATTTACTACCCTTTCACATTCGCACATAACTGTTTCCAGTTCTTCATAGGTAAGAACAGCTCTGCCCAATGTTCTCCTAAGGAGTTCTTTGACTACTCGAACAAGTCTTTCCCACCATCCGCCCCACCAGGCAGCAGTGGGGGGGGGATGAATTTCCATTCGATCTTCTGTATTTCTGTTTGTCGAGTTATTTTACTCCAATCAATTTCTAAAAATTATTATAAGCTCCCCTAAAGTTTGTACCGTTGTCTGTATAAACCACTCTAGGTCTTCCTCTTCTAGCAACAAAACGTCTAAATGATAACAGAAAAGCATCAGTGGAAAGCGATGTTATTAACTCTAAATGAATTGCTCTATAAAGAGCACACGTGTAGAGAACCATCCATACTTTGTCCCCACGTTTTACAAATAGGGGACCATGCCAAGTCAATACCAACTACTTCGAAAGCTGCTGCATTTTCCACTCTATCAGCAGGTAAGGAAACTGGTTCAGTGATGAGAGATTTAGTTTTGTATCGTCGACATTTAATACAGTCCTTCAGAACACTACGTATCGCTCTTCTTCCTCTTGTAATCCAGTACTTTTCACGCAATATGCTTAGTAATATCTGGGTTCCAGCATGACAGTTTTCTCAGGTGAAAATATTCAATCAGTCTTTGAGTAAAGATACATTTATCAGGAAGAAGAATAGGTGAAATGAAGAAAGGCTTATCTATGCGTTCAGTAATTCGAGTTTTAACTCTGATAATTCCGTTCACATCTTTGAAAACACACAAGTTCCGAATAGAGGTTTCACTAGGAAAAAATTGAGCTTGCACATTACGAATAAGCAGAATTTCAGCATTTTCAATCTCCTGCGTTAGAAGTTCTCCCCCCCCGTCTAGTATCATGACGCGATCTTACATTACTGATAAATCTCAATATCCATGCAACCATTCTAACTATTGAATGGAAATTTGAGAATTTAATGGCATACCACGGGACTCTCTCTTCCGACAAATTAATATTACATAACCTAACCTTTCTCCTTTCAAGTGTTATTTCGGGTGTTTCTGTTATCAATATTTCGGTGTCAGGCCAGTTGTCTCTTGCTTGCAACAACCATGCCGGGCCTTTCCACCAGCAGGATTCTAACAATTTCTTAGGGGAACACCCTCGCGAAATCAGATCAGCGGGATTCATTTTCCCTGGCACATGTCGCCATTCATTATTAGGAAACAGATTATTTATTTCCTTTTACTCTGTTCGAGACAAAAACTGTCCAATCACCACGTTCTTTTAACCAGTATAAAGCTACCCTAGAGTCGCTCCAAAATATTGTTTTAATCTCATGGGCATTTAAAGCCTGCTTCACTGAATATGCCAACCTGGCACCAATGCAACAAGCCATTAACTCTAACCTAGGGATCGTTACTTTCTTCAAAGGTGCAACTCTGGTTTTTGCTCTAACAAAGTAAATTTTTACCCCTTGAGAGGTTCTCGTTCTAAAAAAAATACAGGTGGCATATGCCTCTTTGCACGCGTCTACGAAAACATGCATCTCAGTGGAATCATTTATTTCAACATAACGTGAGATTTCGATATCTCTTAATGCATCTATTTCTCTAAACCATCTTTTAAAAGACATTTGAATACTATCTGGTAAAGGAGTATCCCACTTTATATTTAAATTCCACGTTTCCTGCAGTAAAAGCTTAGGTGGTAAGATTGCAGGACTCAACAGACCTATTGGATCATATATTTTGTGAACTGTAGCTAAAATGATTCTCTTAGTAAAATTCTGATCTTCACTTACAAGATTAAAGTTTAAATTACACTTAAGAGTGTCCTTATCAAGATCCCACAAAATTCCCAATACTTTCGTGACACCAGTACTATTAGAAACATACTTACATTTTACATTACTCTCCCAGTTTCTTAAGTGAAAGCAACCCCGTGACAAAATATCTTTTGCATTTACAATAAAATCTTCCTGCTCCTCAATATTTGCAACACCAGAAACACAATTATCTACGTAAAAAGAATGTTTCAGTTTTTGTGCTATAGCATCAAATTCAGATGGTACATTACCTAATAAATGTGTAATTGAGGCTGCCAATAAAAATGGACTCGACTTTAACCCAAATACTACTCTGCAATGTCGGTAAACAACCTGTTCAATCTCGAACGGATAAAAAAACCGCAAGAAATCTCTATGTTGAGGGGCTATACTTAGCATCAGAAATGCTTTCTCAATATCTGAAGATAATCCTATTGGATGAATTCGAAACCTATCAAGTATATCTGGAATTATTTCTAGTAAGTTCGGACCCTTATACAAAAGGTCATTCAAAGAGCATTTACCACTTTCTCGGGCTGACGCGTCAAAGACAGGTCTGATTTTTGTAGTGGTACTGTCCTTAATTACTGGCCGATGAGGTAAAAAATGTCCCGTCTCAATATTATCAGTTACCTTTTCAATTATATTCAATTTTTCCCATTTCTGGAAAATCGTAGTATATATATTCTTCTAAAAATGCTTTATCTTGTGCTCGCTGGCACATCCTTTTATGCCGCTTCCAAGTTAAATCTTTACTTGTCGGCAAATCGGCCACATCAGATTTAAAAGGTAAACAAAGTTCATATCTACCGTCTGAAAGAATTTTCACATTATTTTTAAACTCTTCCAAAACTCTAGAATGTTCTAAATTCTTTCTATTATTTTCAATGGGATCTGAAATACCTATGGATTCTAAAGACCACAAATCTTTATCGAATAATTACTAACATACAACGAAATTGCATTCAAAAGGAGCGTTTTTTTAACATTTTTTTGCGTTACATTTATTTATTAAATATCACGTTCTTCGCACTTAAACCATAAAATTCAGTTCAACAGCAATATCGCAAAAAAGTTTTAAATTGAGCCTATTTTTGAATTTTCGATACAGAGACTCACGCGCTGGAGATAAAAATGTTTTTTCTGTATAATGTTGCCATTGCTCGCTTTGAAATCCTTGAGTTTGTTAATCAAAAATTAGTTAAAGATTTACGAAATCGATAATAAAACAAATTCCAAATTTCAAATTTGGTCCTCCACATGCCCATATTTGTAGGAGGATTACGTCATTCAAAATTCGATGGCTCTATGTACCGTTGTTTTAGCATAATGCGAGAAATATGCATACATTTTTGTAGAATTTTCATTATTCTTCAAATATAATGCAGGACTCTAACATTTCGCGGCAATAGTTTAAAAAAGTGAAACGGACATTTATAGTGAACTAACGCAAAATCGCAAAACGAAAGCAATAGTCCTTGGACTAAAAAAGTGCATTCGATCTTTATGCACCTTTTATTTTCATAATTTCAGTTCAGAATGCTTTTTCAAAATTTTAATTGACACATTTTAAACTAATAACTGGTTTTGTTTCTGAAAGAAACTGAAAAAAAAAAAAAAAAAAAAAAAAAAACCCTACAGAATTTTTATTGATTTTACCAAAAACATTAATAAAATTGCAGAAATATGACCAAATTAATGCAATTAAATTGCTTAACAATTCAAAAATCACGTATACGAATTAAAAAAACTGAAGAATTGGAGAATTCGGTTTCTTTCAAACATGGAAGAAATCATTTCTTCTGTTGGGTTATTTGATGATATTTATTTATGTTTTTCTATTCTGAGAATTAATTTTGGAACTGCTAAAAAAATCATGTCATCTTGCTCGTTACGTATCATAATTTAATAATCTATAATTTTAAATAAAAAAGACTGTATTTCTTTTTTACGCTTTATTGTTCAGTAATTAAATAATCATTAATTCAAACAAAAAATGCTTCAGTAAGTTGAATAATCTAACAGAAAAAGTTCATTTCGAAAAAGGATTTTAATGAATTTTCTCTTCTGCAATAGTTTGTTTATATTTCATATTAAATTAATTTACGTAAAAACATTAATAGTTTTACACTATGTTATTCTGTTCTAAGATCTCTATTAAAGATTAAAAATTGGCAAGATTCTTAAATTTTTTTTAATATAAATTAACCCAAATGGGCAGTTTGCTCAGAAGAGCTATTAATTACGTTTTGGCATTTTGCGTTGTTTCACTACAGACAACGTTTCACGTTTCAAATTGTTGCCACCAAACATTAGATTCCTGCATTATATTTAAAGAAATTAATTAATGAAGAATCTGCATGAATGCTTCTATATTTCTCGCTCTGTGAAAAAACAACGATACCTAGAGATATCAAATTTTGAATAACGTAGGCTTCCACTCGAATATGAGCATCTGGAAGGCCAAATTTGGAATTTGTTTTATTATCTAATTCATATTTTGTAAAACTTAACGAATTTTTGATTAACAAATTTAATGATTTCAAAGCGAGCAATGGCAACATTGTATGAAACAAAGCATTTTTATCTCCAGCGCGCGAGATTGTGTATCTGAAATTCTAAAGATATACACTTTTAATATTATTTTGTTAAGATATTGCTATTGAATTAAATTTTATGGGTAAGGTGCGAAGAGCATGATATTTAATAAATAAAGCTAGCACAGAAAACGTTAAAAAAGTCCCTTTATAAATATAAAATCTGAAAGCTTTCAAATTGAAATTTTTTTAATAAAAAAATATGATTGGAAAAGTGCGCTCCAAAACTATTTATTATGCAATGATTTCACAGCAACTGGTTTGAGTAGTTAGTAACTAAAGTGGGGCAGCCTGAAGGCCCATAGAAAATTCAGGCCCACACAATGTGCTTCGTTTGTCGTACTAAAATCAGGCTGAGGTTGTAAAATCCTGTATATATCTAAGAAATGAATACTGAATAGAATTGTCAGGTTGAAACAACTGATTATTTATGATCAGAGATTTAAAACTATAAAAGTTTTTCTACTTAAAAGAATATTGATTTAAAAAATTGCTTACACAATGTACCAAAACCGTTAACTTTGAAAAAATGCAGAAATGACGTACAAGCTGATAATCAGAGTGAAATTTCATACCAGCATCCCTCACATTAGCTAACACCATTGCTTATCGCAAGCGACACTGAAATAGCAAGTCGAGAAATCTCTATCCAGTAATCCATCTGCAGTCTCTAGTGAGCAAAGAAAAATAAATGCATTCCGCTTAATGTTTAAAATGTTAATTAACCGTAAGAAGAAAAACT